ATCAATGATTTCCGCAAAATATTTTAAAAAAATGTATAAAAATAGTCTATTATTCCGATGAAATTGTGTTTTTTGACATGCCGTTTAGATGAAGAAACTTGCGATCTATAGTTCAAGAAACAATTTGAATGATTACCTTTCATATTCTAATGCTGAGTAAAACAAAATTGTGTACCTGCTCGATCAAGTAATATGAAATTTTGTTTGTTTTTAAGCAAATTATCTTGCTTGTTATCAAAATTTCATCAAAATGACAGACCATTTTCATATATTTTTTTTGAATGTTTTGTGAAAGTAATTGGTTTCTAAATGATTTTATCCTATATATTGTCGAAGAAAAAGACGTTTTCATGTCTTCTCTTCCACTTGCTGAAAACTACAGATCGCTAGTTGCTTGTGTTCTCGACTTATTGAATTTTTAATCGAGTATCTTTAAGTCCTACGCCGACATTAATTTTTCAACGATGCAAGAGTGTCATCAAAAATTATTAAACGCTTGATTAAACTTAGAATTTTGTGCTCTTTTTGAATCTATGCTCAGAATTTTTGTGAGATCCACAGATCAGGAGTTATGAGCAAATCTCTGAAAGGTCTAAAAGTACAGTTGGGACAGTTTTTGATGCTTAGTACAACATGCAGAATAGAGGTAACATTTATTCTACATATATTAATAGAAAGAGCAAACATTTCTCTACGAAAGAATATCTGGATAATCAGTTTTTTGTTAGGTATCTATCTACAATTGAAGTTTTGGTAAGAGATACAATGACATATTCGCAATTCCTTCATTTCCAGACTTACAATGTGAACACAATCGTTTCTGACTGAAAGCCTTGAAACTCTCATTTCTTAACTGACTTCGTAGAGGATAGTCTCGATCTTTATACTGTGCTAAAAAAATCGCACATATAATGTATGCAATAATAGTTATCATTGTCGAGAAGTGGGATTAAACGAAATGGGTATTTTTTACAAAAGTAATAAGAAAAATCAATGAACATCAACATCAAATCAATTTTCAGCAAGATACAATCAGATGCTTCGTCTCAGAATCAATTAATGAAACTGTCTTCGTCCAAACTTTATTTTCATATCTTTCAAAGACTTGTTCATAACTTCTGACTTCTGAGTGTCAACAAATTTTGAACCTTAGATTCGGAAAGAACACAAAAGTCTACTTCTAACCAAGTATTTACTATTTTCTACCGATCTTCTTCTTCAATCCAAAAACTAAGGAACATTCTATCTAAAAACCTTTAATACATCTGTTATGAAACATCTCATGACATCTGTCCGATGTAAACAAGTCCTCTATATTCCTTAAGTGTACTATGATCCAATTAGTTTGATCAAAGTACTATAGTTTCATAATAAATAAAACAACAAATAACCAGTAAATATTTTGAATCTTTCTGTAATCAATTACATACGTATATCAAATCTGATTTTTCGATTGATCTTATTCGATAAAGCTTTGCTTTGAATGTTACTGAATTATTTTTCTTTATTTATTAATAAATCATAATACCAACACAAAAATTATGTAAGTAGTGTAGCCTGGCAAATTTTATTGTCGTCGTTAATCACTTGTATTTTATTGCTCAGTATTCTTTCTTATTACGTGCTCAGTAGGTTTTGCTCAGTAATAAATTAGTTTTAGTATAGGAAATAGTTTGGCAAGCTCAGTAATTAATATAAAACGACTCAATATTTCAATATATGGCTGTGATTGTGTGCATGTGGCATGGATATCGATCGTTCCTGGCAGTAGCACCCACACTTCACACTCAAACACACGCTCACACCGACATTCATACACACAAATTATTAACTTGCTGAGTAAACTATTAGTTAAGTGAACAAACATAATAGTAACCGAACACTAAATTTTATACTGATAGTTTGATTTATTTACTGATAATTTGTATATAATATTGAGCGTTTACAAAAAAAAAAGAAACCGAACATTTAGTTTGTTGTGTTAATTGATTATAGTTTGATCTTCAGTTCTTGTTTTTTTTCAATATTTTTATTTCATGTCCAAGTAAAAATTAGACAATTTTAGTGAAATAAAAAATTTCTATCATCATAACAAGAAATTCGATGAATAATATCAATTAACAGATTGAAAATAGGTTCTCTCGTCGTTCTATAAATAAAAAAAAATGATCTAATTCATATTTTGAAGAAATATTTATGTAATACTTTTTATACATTTTATCTATTGACAATCAATGAAAAGCAAAAGATTAAGTTTCATTTGAATGAATCATTCATCTAAAAGGATAGATTTCAAAATGTAGAAAATAATAACTTTTTTCACGATGCATTGTTACCTGAATGAGAAAGAAAAAGAATCGTTTAAAAAATAAGTTACAAAATAGAAATAATGACTCACTTCAGATTAGGATAAACCTACGCAACATTAAAGGGTAACCTAAATCCTAGTAGCATTTAACAATTGATTGTTATCATTCAAATCATTTATTTCATAGTTTCTCGTCGACACGATGCGTTTATCAACATTGTGCTTTATTAGTCTTTCTCTATTTCTTCTTTTATTAACAACAAATGCATCGGTTGATATCCGACAACGTTTTGAAGGTCTCATTGGCAAAACTGTTCAAGCTGCATGGCGTAAAATTGATCGCGAAGGTTTTCTTTTTTTTTATTTGAATCATATTTAAAAGCTTAATTAAATGTCACTTATATTTTAGCACCAGGACGACCAATCGAAATAATGCGAGAAAGTTCTCCACAATCAAACAAACGAATAACTCCTGGTTATGTTCGCGTCATAATTAGTGATGAAACTGGTCGAGTACTTTATACACCTATTTTACAGCCCAATTAATCAAAAAAATTTATGTTATTAAACATGAAATACATTTTCTTTTAAAATAAACTATTGAAAAAAATTAACTAGGAATTACATTATATATTGAGAGAAACTTCATAGAATCTCGAAAATTGATGATGAATTTGTTAATGATCACTAATAGTGAATATATTCGATCTGAAGTATTTCTCTTATTCACAATTGATATTTCATTCAAAATAAAAAAAACTGAATAAAAGATGATTATCATGAGAATGTTGAATATCAAAACAAAAAAGAAAACACTTGACAATTAAAGAGGTATTTTACAATATTGGTATAATACGAACAAAATGTAGGTTAAGCAAAGATCTATATATATATATATATATGTATATATTTATTAGTGAATGATAAATATTGATGAAGTACAATATTTTTATAAAAGTGAATCGTTATAAATAAAAGAATAATATTCATATTCAACGGACGTTATAATTAACTTTGAATAAAATATCATGTTTGATTTTGAAAGTCATTTTATTTCATTTAATGAATTCCAAAAACAAAGAAAGAAATATATCTTTTGATAATTTAACATGAAAAATAAAAAAAAACTAGTGTATATAATAAACAATTGATGACTTTTTTTTATAGATGACGTTCTTCATAAAATTTTTATAGTAGATTTAGAAACAAACACATCTCAATAGTTTTCTTTCTGCCTTGATTATTCTTGTCAGCTTTGTTATTGCATGATCGAGTAGTTCGAAAACAACATGTTTGTTTAGTAAAGAAAAAGAAGACATACACATTCAACAAACGCTTACTCACTTATCCTTTCATTCAGTATAAGGACAAAAGAGCAATGCGTTGTCGTTAGCATTCATCTTTGATTTACTTGTTGCAAATATTAAATGTTGTCATCTTGAGTGTCTGTTGTATGTTGCTTTTACTATTGTTACTTCTTTTACCATGTTGATTGTTTAGTTAAAAGAAAAAAAAAGAATACAACTAACAGAAGAAGGCCGCTTCTAATACAACTATTTATTGTGTGGCATCTTTATTTGTCTACAATCGACGCAAAAATATAATGTCAATAATTTATATGCACAATAATAGCTAAAAGAATGTTTTATCATATTGAATGAAATTAAATTTTTTTTCAAATCTCCGATAATAGCAAACAAATGTGTACAGTCACCAAATTATTTATATATGTCAACATATATAGATTAAAAAAAAATAGTGGTACAATATTTGAAGTGTCATCTTAACGAGAGCTATAATGAATCACAGTCTTCTACTTATCCCTCTTTTGCCAAGTATATGTATATATTTATCTCTGTCATATCACATTACACTAGATCTTTTTTGTATTCATGTATGTTTTGATTCGTATTCAACACTATTAACATTACAAACATCATAGAAACAAAAAAAAAAAGAAATATCTTTTATAAAAACATAATGTTTTCTCTCTTTTCTTAATAAAACTATTGAACAAATCATGCAATCATTATTAATATTAAGAGCTAGTTTTTTTCCTGTTCTCTTTCTAATAACAATTAAGCGCTTTAGGATCACTTAACAAAAGTTATATCACCTTTTTAGAAACGATAAATTTCGTTTTTTCCTTTAGGTAAAAATATTTTTTCAAGAAACTCAATTTTTAATTGAACAAAAGAGAAGCTATAAAAGAAGAAGAAAAAGAAAGAAAGCAGAATTGGGTAAAAGAAGCGTATGTGTACATTGTATGATATGAAGAAAGTTAAAATAACAATAGAAGTTTAGTTTAGTAGTAATGCTTATGATGAAACATAGGTGTTTTATTAAAAATACACATATATGACGAGTAGTAAAACGAGAAAAGAGAAAAGAAAGAAAAGAAGAACATTGATTGCTTTATTGAAAGAAAAAGAAAGCATCGTATTGGTTTATTTCTTTTTTTTTTCTTCAACGTATAAGATCAATTGATTGGAATCGTACCGGCAAGAGAAGACGGAAAGCAAAGAAAAACAATAATCATCCGACCAGTCAACATTTTCTTTCCATTTTCTTCTGTTTCTCTTCTCTTCTTCGTTTCTTTTCTTTTTTTTTTGCTTTTTTTACACATACAAAATACATCGACTTCCATAATCATTCACAAACTCAGAATTATTTTATTATTAGAAGAATCAAAATGATTTCATCACCATCACATCATCTACAACAAGCTTATTTAGCTGCAACAGCTGCTGCTTTAGGTGCGCCACATCTATTTTATGCAGCTACTGGTAATCCAACAAATACTGGATTAACAAATGAACAATTATCACCTGAATCTTATGCATTATTAAGAAATTATTTATTACGTTCACAATCACCATCGGATAGACGTGAACAACATCAAAAACCGCCTTAGTATGAAGTTTTAATATTTATTGATTTATTTATTTATTTATTTGAATTTCTTTTTTCTTGTTTTATTAGTTCTTATATAGCATTAATTGCAATGGCTATTAAACATGCGCCACAAAATAAAATAACACTCAATGGTATTTATCAATTTATAATGGAACGTTTTCCATATTATCATGAAAATAAGCAAGGATGGCAAAATTCAATTCGTCATAATTTATCATTAAATGATTGTTTTATTAAAGTACCACGAGAAAAAGGTAAAAGTTCTTTTATTTATTTTTCAATTTTTCTTTTTCTTTTTTTTTTGTATTTAATAAAACAAATAATTTTTTCTTTAGGTAAACCAGGCAAAGGTAGTTATTGGACATTAGATTCTAAATGTGATGAAATGTTTGAAAATGGAAATTATCGTCGACGTAAGCGACGACCAAAACAAATTATATCAACAATTCAAAAACCTTCATCAACGTCATCATCTATACCATTAGATGATTCGTCATTATCATCATCAGAATCAAATCATAATTCATTATTAATATCATCAAATAATGATGATGATGATATAAATCAAACAACTAATTATGATCGATATTCGTTTCTTAAAGTAGAATCATCAAATCATAAAAAACGACATCGTTCACCAACACCTGAAATGAATAATAATAATAAAAAAGTAAAAACAGTTTCAGCATTTTCATCTATTGATACATTAATTGCACCAACGAAAGAAACAAAATCTGTTGATTTATCGTTATCTCCTTGTCGTTATAATAATAATAATAATAATAATCATCCATATTTATCATCAATTCCTCAACAATATTTATCCTTATTATCAAATGGTTTTGGCCTTAATCCGGCATATAATCGACATTCTTCAGCAAAATAGAAATCAAAAGAAACCGAACAAAAAATAAATATTCAAACTTGTGTTTTTTTTTGTTTTGTTTTCTCATTCCACAAAAAAAAAGAAAGTCTTGTGTCGATTCAGTGTTTTTCTTTTCATTTCTTCTTCTTTTTTCTTTTTTTTTTAAATAACAACGATGTGTATCTGTCTATATGGAAATAATCAATTTCGCTTTTCATATACAAAATAATAAGTGTCACCTATTTGAAGACATAATAATGTTGATTGTTGTTTATGATCGAATATAAACAAACAATAGTTAGGAAAAGTACAAACCACTTGTTTTACCATGATAAGCTTCATGGTGTGCGTGTCGATGTGCAATTCGATAATTTCTTTTTCAACAGCATTATGTGATTTGTATCTTGTTTTGCCTATTCTCATATACATTAGTAGAGCATCATATAAACATACATTATGTCCTCGGGCTTGTTTTCTTATTGCTCTATCACGATAATTCTCATCAGATATGGAATGTTGTATATAACAGTATGATGCAATTGACTAGATTTCGATGTTTTTCTAAAGATCATTTTCTTTTACACCAATCAAATTTATATCCGATAAATAGATGTAAAAAAAAAAAAAAAGAGAAAAGATTTTTTTTTGACGATCATCATTATCAATGATTAATGATGAGATATACGCGTGCCGTATATATAGTAATTCTTTTTTCCGGAGGGCTTTTTATATATTAGTGTTATTCTACAATGAATTCTTGAGGAAACAAAATATAAATATATGTATGTGGACATCAAACACATCACTTGGCTACAACTACTGTAATACTACATTGTCTAAACTTATGGGTGTGTGTGTGTATGTGTATATATATGTGCGGTACATCTTCTAGCAACTGCCTAAAGCAAGACAAACAACCGGAATAGTTTGTTTGTCTAAAGTATTCATTTCGTGTCTATATTAAGATATGTGACGATGGTTTGTAGTTGAAAAAAAATTAACTTTCTCTGTGCGACTTCCGTTATTCGTTTATGTTTTTTTAACTAGTTGAAATGATATTATAAAAGTCAATTTCAATTTGACATATGTATGTAATAAAGAAACCTTATAAATGAGACGAAGAAAAGTTGAAGAGAAGAAAGGAAAAAAAATTCTCGGCCATTCTCTTTTTTTGCTTTATTATGCTTTTAGTAATAAGATATTTGGAATTAAAGAATAATAATAATAATAATAATAATGATTTAACATTAACTATTTCTCATATATATATACATATATATAAACGATATGTTATTATTCATGAATAGCAAATATATACATTTGTATATGTTTGTAGAACAATAGAAAAAAGAGACACATAGACATTCAAAACTCATTTTCTAATTACATATACACAAATATATAAAATGCTGAAGATCACAGTCTCCGTCGTTGTTCTTTCTAAGATAAACATACATATATACATACATAGTGCCGTGTAAATCTCGTACATAAATAAACGACCATTAAAGGACAACAACGAAAAGAGCGCATAAAAGGAATAAAAGTATTTATACCGCTATACACACTGCGCATCTCTCTCTCTCTCTCTCTATTTATGACACCTTTAAGGATTGTATATTTTTTCATTGAGTATAAATACACCTGTAAAAACTTTAACTACAAAAAAAACAAAACTAAAATTCATTTTGTTATTTGACATTTATTTGTTTGCTAATGAAAGTAATTGCAATATGCTGAAAATTAAATATCTAGCGTTCTTTATACATTTAGGAAAATAAACGCCATCATCTATTTGTGTATATATATATATATATATATCTTATGTTCCAATCAAAGTGCAGCAATAATGTTGACACGAGAAAGAGAAGAGCACATTGAAAGAGGATGACAGGAAAGTGATCAAACAGTATGCGGCCCGCTTTTGATATCTTTTTTTTTTTTGGTCTATGTGGTGTTTCTATTTGGTTGTTGTTTTAACTAAAATGTGCACTTGTGGTGCTCATCATCATTCAATACAGATGATGATAAATATACTTATTTTACACATAGTCGTCAAAGGAAAAGATGTATATAAAAATAATAAACTACATATGATAAGATTATTTTTATTTAGACAACAAAAAAAATCAATCACAGTTCTCTTTCCTTCTCTTTTGTTTCTTAGAAAGCTAACAAGAAATATGTTTGTATCAATATATATTGTTTCTTTATATCATGAAAATGATCGATAATGATATGTTGATAGAAAAATAGTTTTGCAAGTAAATGGTTTTATATTATATATTGTTGTTCTTTCGAGAAGAAATAGTTCATGTTGTTTTTTTTACTCTTTATTATGAAGAAAATGATGCAGATGTTTGCCACGAGCCGGTTAAAATTTATTCTTTCTCACTGTGGTGGTTATTAATAGCAAGCGGAACTAAATGTATGACTGTAAGGTGATATATGCTGAAAATTTATTGAGTTATGATAAAAATGAACTCCAGCATTTTATTCTTTACAATGGATCTTAGTTGAAGAAAAACTTCCTATGTTTGTATTGAGTGAATTCAATAAATTTGATTGTATTTTAATATTGTAAAGAAAAAAATAATAAATGTGCAATCTAAACAATGGAAATGGAAGAAATGTGTAATTGAATTATAGCCGTGGTTATTTTCAGTTGTAAAATAAGAAAATATTGTCTTTTCATTACTTAGTTTTATATAAGTGTTTTGAGATTTGTATGGAAAATGTTAGCTTTTGCAAATATTTCGACAAACTGGAGCACAGATTTTTTTTTCTTTAACTCATTTGGTGTTAAATTTTGGTCTAATGAGAGATTATTTTCTATTGTCTCAATTGTTATTTGATTTCATATTGAACTCATTTGTATGAGAGTAGTTTTTGATTTTTTCTTACATGGCATCAGCTACTTTGATAATCTAATGTGCTATAAACATCGAACGAAGTTTGTTGTTAATGAACGAGTGAAGAACGATCTAATGAATTATACAGTAGAGCACGAAACTGCAAGAAAACTAAAAAAAACCATTACTAAAACCAAAACTTGTGAGTTGAAGTTTTTGTGCTTGTCTTAGAATTTAACTGAGTGATGACATCAAATTTTTGCTATTGATATATTACAATGGTATCCTCTCGCATCAAGTTTATACATGTGGAAAAACTTTGCAACTACATATATAGTTCTATAATTATGAGAATCGTTTTCATCTAGACAACAATAATGCAAACAGTTTGGTGTATGTCTATTTATTTTCCTATAGTAATGTCAACTTAGAATAGAAATAGGTGATGATTAACAGCGTAAACGGTAACTTTTTACGAAGAAACCATTTGAACTAATCATTGACTTTCTTAATGAAAGCTATTAAATTACAGATTATTGAAGATGCTGATTCTGAATATGAGCATGAAAAATTTTCTTAAGTCTTCATATGTTGGATTTCTAGAAAGCTGTCTTTCCATATTAACAGAACTTTGTGTCAAAAATATTTTTTTGATCTGTTCAGATTGTAGAACATATCAATTTGCCTAGAAAATAGTAACCTTTTTTTATCGCAAATTTTTGCAGAAAATACTACCATTTTAATTTAGACAACAGATAGATAACATCATTTCAATGTGAGAATCCTTAAGACAATATTATTTTACGTGAAGTTCATTTTTGGAATACAAAAAAGCTATTGTCTAATAGACAAGTCAATATGCTCTGTAATTTAAACAGATTCAAAACGACTTTATCAAAGTATTTGTTAGTTTGGAACATCGACTTTCTAGAAAACCAGTATATGAAGACCTAAGGAGGACTTCTCATACTCGTAATCAAGATCAGCAAGGTCGGTAACTAACAATCCCATAGTTTTTAGTCAGGAAGCAATTGATCAATTGAAACCATTCCTTCGTTAGAAGATAAAAAAGACTAAATCATTTGATATAACAGTAAAAAGCGTTAAATTCTATTCAAGCGATATTATGAAAGTAAATTTTCTCTAAAATTTTTCATTGTCTTATAAAGAGATCAGCTCATAGTTAAAACTTAGAGTTAAAATAATGTCTAATATTTGAAGATGTTCTCATGCAAATAAACATACAAAATGATTTCTGAATTCGGTTGATAGAATTATTAAACAATGACTTGTGATATATGTGAAAATTTATCAATGAAAAATGTCTTTTACATAAAATTACAACAACAAATCAATCAAGCCAAACAAAATAAAATTAAAAAAAAGACTTAAAATTTATCCATTTCGTCTTCTTGTCTAATATGAATATACTTTAATTGTTTTGTATATGGTTCAATAATAACTAATTGTTGGCAAGCATTCTTACTATTATTTTTAAGTATTTGAAACCAATTTTGATAATTATGTTGTACATCAAAATTTTTATTTAGTTTTCTATATATATGTATATTATGTGCATAAGCAAAATGTATTCTATGTGTACGATTTGTGTCTGATGCTAATGCTAATATAACAGCATGAATATTTCCATCACCTAATGAATTAATTAAAATACTATCATTTAATAAAAGATTATTTAAAAATTGTTCAATTTGTTTTTGATACCAAAATTGAACACGAGTAAGAAAAAAATTATTATAAATAGAATCATATGATTGAAATGGAAAACAATATGATTTACAATTATTATGATATGTACGTAAATATCGTGGTAGTAAATAATCAGGACCTGACATTGGAATATCCCATGCAAGCGCACGATAAATATAATCAAGTTTATTTTTATATGCATATTCAAAAAGATCATAATCAAATGGTTCTAAAAAATAACTATCATCATCTAATCGCATTATATAATCATAATTATTTTTAATTAATGGATGATGAAATACAGTATGTGACCAAAATTGACACATAAAACGATAACCTATTGAACGTTGATAAATTGTTGGAATTTCACGTTTAATTATATTAATTGTTTGAATAGGATTTCTCATTAATGTAAATAAAACAATATTTTCAAATATTAATCTTAATTTAACACATGATTTTATATAATCTATGGTTGAACTTTGTATCTCATTATCATGTGAATCATAGAAAATTATAACTGGATATTTATCAATTGATTGAGGAAAAAAATATTCTATTGAATGTAGCATATTAAGTAAACGTATAGGATCTCCACGTGTTAAAGTGACAATTGCTGCTCGAAATGACTGCTTTTGATAAGCATTATTTAAACTTTTAGTAGATGGTAATGATAATAAAAAATAATAAATAAACCCAATAAAACATATAAACAAAAAATATTTCCACGTTTTTCGTTTCATTTTATAATGTTGAGAGAGACACGACAACAAAAAATGGAATTATATCTCTTGTTTTTTTTCTCTCTTTCTTTCTTTAAGTTGTTTAACAAAGAACACATTTGTTAGTTGATTCAATTGGTCGAACTAAAATATTCGAATAGTCATTTTGTTTATGACTATCAACAA